TCTAACCCTCTTCACCTCACCTTTTCAGATTCAGGATTCTAGAATTATTAATCAAGTATTATAGAATTGTATAAAATTATTTTTAGTTCTTTTGAGAAAGAGAGAAACTCAGCTTTAATGTAACAAAAGAACACTAAGTGATAAATGTATACCATTTTTAAGAGTCCTACCATATTAGGAAGATAAATCCCTTACCATCATCTGCTTTTGAAAGAAATATGCAGCCATTCTCTTCAAAGTACACATTCTCTCCAAACCTCATCTGTGCAATACAAAACAAGCATGTTTCAAGTCCAACATATAGTTAGACCATTTCCTTAGAATCCTTGTATTCAGTCATTGTTCTGTACAGCGGAACTGTGCCATATACAAATGACAGGATATAGCACATATATTTGGTACTGAATAAGGAATCGTGCACATCACAAAGGTTCTTTCAAAGTTAGGGTACTAAAGCTTCCTCTACCTGCTTTAAATTTAACAAAAGCCTCAGATCACTGCAATTCTCTTGCAACTTACAATGTCTTGTATTCTTTATGCAAAAGTCAGATGATTATTGTATCTTTACTTGCTTTTGCCTATGGAGAAATTAAGGTAAATTCACTATCATAACAGGAATAAGCTGTTCTAAACACATGCTGCTACTACTCACAATTACTAAAATATTCAAAACTTCTACCGTAAAATAATCAGTAAACGAGCATTTTATAGAAGGAATGGCTTCACTGCTTTTTATTTGCAGTTAACAATGGGAAATGTATTTTTTGCCACTTACCCTTGGGCTTTCTGAATTGAATGTGTACTTGTTGTGCAATTCTTCCAGTTTTTCTTTGATTCTTTTTGTGAGGGGTTTGTATATTGGTGAAATGTCATTCCAGTTTTCCTGCTCTGATTTCAGAAGATTCTTGTGCAAAAGCTCTGGTGTTACTACAGATGTACTTTGCTTCCTTTTGGAGGAGATTCTTGTTCCTTCCTGCTACGTGAGGAAAGACAGCAATGGCTGTAAGCCAGCACACTGTACATCAAAATGAATATATTGAGTATTTCCTGAGCTACAGACCCCAAACCAACTTTGCATTATTACAACAGTATGTGCCATGAAAAAGAAAAGCCGCAATTGAATTTTTATTGTAATTCTTCCTGATCTTTTGAAGAGGCATTGTCAAATGTGCTTTTCTTGACACATTTATTGAGGTTTTCTCTTCAAAATTCAGAGTACTATTAATATATGCTCTTAATTGATTATGAGTAAAAATATCTGCTCTTTTTCTAGAGTTAGGTTTTAGTTAATTTTTATGGAATTCTATTATTTTTCCTTCTTCACAGGTGTTCTTTCATAATTTCCTGTCTTTAGAGTGTAATTTCTCATTTCCTTCCCTAGACAACAATACCACCCACAGCTCTGTCCCAGTACCTAGGAGTCCTTGTTCAGGTTCTTGCTCCACTTCCTCAAAAGTCTTAATATAAATGTTCATAAGGTGCAGAATGAAGTGGAGCAGTGAATTGTTGTTCTGCAACAATTTTATCAGGAATAAGTTTAAGGATCTGGTTTTCCATGACCTGTGAGCAGACTACTGCTACCTCATTGCCAACAAAGCTGTCTTCTATTGTAAAAATGTTAAAAATGTGTTAAAACTGCTAGAACAATGCTAATTCCTCTTGCATGATGTGAAATCTCACTTGATCAAGTAATAAGCTTAACAACATATATTACACTACATCACACAGATCATATAGAGTAGTATTTTCTAACATTCAGTGTATGATATGAACTATGATGTACTGTTTAAACCTAAAAAGCAGCCTGTGCTTTATACCCCATCCTCACTTTGCTGTTGGTTTGTTCCTAGTTTGTCTTCACAAATGCATGAGAACCAAAATCTGAACTTTACAAGTAGACTTTGAAGGGCAAAGAAACCATTTGTTCCATTTACCGAACTCCCTGTGAACATAGAGCACATCACTGAGGAGTTAAGAGTTTCTGTTACTGGTTCAGACCAGTAAGTCCCTCTCACCTGGTGCATCAAATTGGAAGCACAAGGCAAAGAAATTGTGAAAGCCCTTAGAGAACCTCTGGAGCAACTGTGTAACTGATCAGCTAAAGAAACTGCAGGATGCCCAAGTTGTACCACCCTCTTCCCAGTCACTGGAAAAACTGTTTTAAGAGAACACTATTCCACAGACTAGATGCCTGAATGTGGTTTCTGGAGATTTAAAACTCTCTCTCATGTCTGTATGATCTTTCTTTATACCTATTCCTTGAGCACAAGTCGTATGAGGAGAGGCTGAGGGAGCTGGGGTTAGCCTGGAGAAGAGGAGGCTCAGGAGAGACCTCATCCCTCTCTACAACTCCCTGAGAGGAGGCTGTAGCCAGGTGGGGGTTGGTCTCTTCTCCCAGGCAATGAGCAGTAGGACACGAGGGCACAGTCTTAAGCTCTGCCAGGGGAGGTTTAGGTTGGATATTAGGAAGAAATTTTTTACAGAGAGACTAATCAGACATTGGAATGGGCTGCGCAGGGAGCTGGTGGATTCACCGTCCCTGGGGATTTCTAAGATGAGACTGGATGTGGCACTGAGTGCCATGGTCTACTAACCACGGCATTTGGACTTGATAATCCCAGAGGTCTTTTCCAACCTGGTTGATTCTATGATTCTGTATAAACTTTTAGCATCCACAGCTTATTTTGGCAAGTTCCACTCTTTATGAATACTTTTATGATTGCCCTCCTTTTGTTTTCAACAGTTCCCATGGTATTTATCTGGAAATATTATATACATTTGGTGGTCACAGTGTAGGACAGTAGGGATATATTGAAGAGTTACTGTACCCCTCCCTGCCTGGGGAAAAAGAGTAATCCAGAAACACCTAGGTAGCAGAGGATCTCAGTAACAATCAGTTTGCAAACATTTGCTTCAAAGCAAATAGGCACAGCTTCCCTTCAGGTGAAAACCATCTGTTTATATCCTGGAACCAGTGTCACAGACCAGCATTTGAAACTGTTAGTGAAGTGCCAAAGAATGAACTGAACCACACATTCTCATCCATCCAGACTTCATATGTTCTTCTTGAAACATTTGTTTACATGTAAGACACACACTTAGGAGCTGTTTACTTTATGGTGACAAATCAAAGCAATCTTAGGACAACATCACATCCATCTGAGAACATGTTTAAGATCAAATAAACCAAAACACAAATATTTTAAAACAGTACTTATGCATTTGCATTATGCATATGAATCAGTTTCCAGGCTGCCATACTACAGTAAATTTTTGTAATACATTTAGTAAAGTCTATATTAAAAATACTGGAACAGAAGACCTAAAATTATTTCAGATTGTTTTCTGACTTTGTGCATGATATACTACCACCCAATTGCACAGTACTTACATATAGAAATCAATACAAGTACCTTTAGAAGTATAGTTTATAGTACATGAACACGATTATATCAATATTTTATTTTAATATTTAATATGGTGTAAACCATGACTGACTGGTCAGCAGAGAAAAAAACAAGTGTTTTTTTGAACCAGCTCACAGTGGTTAAGTCTGGTGTCATCAGTTCGGATACTTTGCCTCTACACTAGCTGATACCTCCCTGCAGTTTTCTCCTGAACTTCACCTGATCATTTCTGGAAAATACCAGTTTTTTAAAAAGTACTCAGGACGACCAACAGAAATGCAGCTTTACATCAAAGCAGCATAGGAAAGTTTAACAACAGTACACATCTTTGAATGTAACTGATATCCTGGTATTTATCCCTCTGCATCAAATTCTCCAGGACAACTATGCTTCCTCAACATGCGAAAAGTATGGCTGGCTTCCTTAACAGATATGCCAAGGTGCTTGTGGACATTAAGTCTATACTGAAAGAACATACCTTGCAGGAAAAGAATCTCCATGGCAGGATGCTTTCAGGTGGTGCGGTCCTGCATGTGCCTGTACATCCTGAACAGTTCAGGATGTGGCATTTTTTTGCTTTAATTTTACTACAAGGACACGTTGTTTGAAGATGGTTAATGCTAGAGTAGTACTTGACACTGAAGTTCAGCCCTTGGAGAAGGTTTCGCAGTCCAATGCAGGACATCATAGCCTTCATTTCTTGATAGCCAACCAGAAACCTCTGAAAATCCTGAACTGCAGATCATTTACACTGTGTGTGAAATAAATGTAAGATAAACAGCAGGTAAAACTTCCTCTTTCACAGAAATGAGATTGATTCATTAGGTAAATCATATGAGAAGACACAGTAGAACTGTGGCTGTTTCTTATCAAGTGGTACTTGCATTATAACCAGCACGTTCCTGGCGGCTCAAGTTTAACTCCAGCGAAACTATGAGGAGAGTGAGAAGTGCGACTGCGCACGTTCAAACGCTGAAGAACAAAACTCTGGGACAGTTTGGAGAAGTCGAACGCCCCCGCTCCCCCATCATCCAACGCCAAAACCACACTCTGTCTCCAGAGGGTCCCTCGGCAGCAGGAGCTGACCCCGCCTGCGGGATCGGGCCCCACGTGTCCCCCCCGGGACCGCAGGAGCCGGCGCGGCCCTGCTCCCCACCAAGGCTGTCCCTCCCGCCGCGGCCCCCGCAAGGACTCGCCGTACCGCTCCCGCTCCTCCTCCCGCTCCGCCGGGGCTGTCCGGGATAAGATGCCAGGCATGCAGCAGCGCTCTCGGCTGGCGCTGCCCGCAACAAACATGGCGGCCGGGCGCTTCAGCGGCTCGCCCGCTGATGTCAGCGCGGGGGTGCGGAGCCAAGGCGGGCGGGCTGGCCCGGGTCCTGGCGCGGCTTTCTTGGGTGGCTGCCGTGCCACGCACAGTCGCGTGCCCCGGCGCGGAGCCCACAAGCGGCTTGTCCTGAGGCGCGCTCCCGCCCCCGCGATGCCGGGCCTTAAAAGAGCGGAACTCCTCGGCTGCTTAGAGACTGGCCCAGCGCTGCCCCTATCAAAGATGGCCGCCTCCCTCCTCCCGCTCCATCCCTAGCCCGGCCGGTCCCGCAGCCGCTGGATGCTCGGTGGCGCGGCCCCTCCGGCTCGGCCAGCGCTCCCTCCCGCCGCGCCAGCTCCAGGCGCTCCCGCTGGGGCATGGCCGAGGCTGCCAGCTCGTCGCGCCGCCCCGCCCCGGGCAAGTGCGAGGCGAGAGGTGCGGGGGTGGCCCGAGCGCGCTGGCGGCTGCTCGGACAGGTAGGGGGAGCCCGCGGGAGGGAGGGACTGCCGGCATGGCGGGGAGGGGGGCGGTGCGGGCCGAGGGAGCGCAGGGGCTGCGGTCCCGCTGCCCGGGTTGTGGCCCTGAGGGGCTGCCGGTGCCGCGGGGGCTGCGGAGCGCTGTCCGCACCTCTGGGGGAGGATTGGGGCAACAGTGCGGGGGGGCTCGTAAAGAGGTTTGCAGCCCTCTGCATGGAAAATGTGGTAATAATAAAGATACGCACGTGTATATACGCACCCATGGCTCTCTGAAGAGAGGGGAGCGGAGGGGCAGGCACGGCTCTCTTTCGTGAGCAGTGGCGGGACTCGAGGAAGCCGCATGGAGCTGAGTCAGGGGAGGTTTAGGTTGGATATTGGGAAAAAGTTCTTTGCCCAAAGGGTCGTTGAGCACTGGAACAGGCTCCCCAGGGAAGTGGTCACAGCAAGGCTGAGTTCAAGAAGCGTTTGGACAATGCCCTCAGGATTCTTTGTGAGTCCTGCACAGAGCCGAGAGATGGGTCCCTTCCAACTCAGGACATTCTATGATTCTAAAGTGTGCCTGTAGTGGATCCCCAAAACAGTCTGTGGCCAATGTTAAGGGAGGAGGTCCAGAGTCACATTGGGACCTTATAGCCTGAGGGCACTTCCTTAGGATTTTCGGGCCATGGTTTGACACTTTCCATCGATGGTGGCTGGTTGTTGGGGGTTTTACCTCATTCCTGCTCTTTGCTCCCTGTTCCCCAAATTGCCTTTCATGAGGAACTGGAGCAATACCCCACTCACCTGGCAGTGAAAATTGCACTTTGGTGAGGCTGGCGGGGCCATGCCTGGAGGAGGGCAAGGAGGAAGAAGGAGCAAGTGGTGACACCTGTGCTGTGGTGTCAGCAGCTTCTGAGCTCCAGCCTTCCAGACTGTTTTAGACCCTTTAGGAGCTGTGCAAGGCTGGAAAGGATTCCTTTGCAGATACGTGTATGCATAAAGGCTTAAAAAACCCAGATCAGTGTAATTAGTTGTTATTGTTACGGGATGTGATATTTACAGCCCTAACTCAAATGTTTAGTTCTCTGCTGACGAGCACCTGGAGCTGCCCATCCACAGCTCTCCCTGAGAAGGTGGAGTGGCAGCAGTGGGTTGAAAGGGCCACCTGGCTGCAGTTGGGTAATGGAGTGAGAGGCCTGAGGGCATCAATATTGCACTTGGTATGTGCTTTTGGTTTGTAGCTTTGCCAATCCTGTTCAACAGGACCAAATTCTGTTTTATTATACTCTAAAGCAGGAAATGTCAAAGTTACTGGTAGGAAAATCAGGTTTGTCTTTGTAGGTTTCTGTTCTACCAGACTGTGTAAGATGGGCTATGTGGCTGTACTAGCTGTTGCTTGTTTTCAATATAAACTGCCTTTGGCATATGCCTATCTCTTAAAAATCACAAGGAGCTTTTCATAGCAACAGAATGGGATTGTGGAAGGGTGTGTGTAGGTATTTGGGGAGAAGGCTTCTGTTTCTTCCTCAGACTACATGTATCTGTGACCTTTTCCTCTACAGATTCCCTGGGTTTTCCCATGTTCTTTAGCTTTTCTTTTAATTTTTGTACGGTGCAATGAGCAAGGATCAATTTAATCTTACTGGTACATCTGAAGTAAAAATGAGTTCTGCACTCTTTACTACAGAAGTGCTCAGATCTATCTATGGATTGGAAGAAGGTATCAAGCTCCCTTTATATCTGTCTTTAAAGGAGCACTGTCAAAGTGTTTCTTACAGTGCTTTTAAAAACACATTTCATACTGCTTATAATAGTGGCTTATGTGAAATCAGTTCTGTGGTGTGTTTATATATTGAATTTGCTTTCTTTCAATGCACACACAAATTGATTTACTATGGTGAGGATGCTTGAGTGCATGCTCGCTGATTTAATTAAGAAAAAAGCCCTTTTATGAGGTATCCTATGAAGCTAGCATAAAGAACCAGGGGTTTGCATAATTGCCTATGTGTTCTTTATCAATAAAATGTTTTATGTATGTAGTGAGTTTGAAGTTTGGCAACATTTTTCAAGGTAGCCTGTCAGAATCAAGGAAAAGATTTTTTTGCTTTGAATCAGTGCTAAGGGAAGTTAGCCATTCATTTGAAATTGCATTTGAAAATGACCGGAGTAAATTCTCTAATGCTGTTTTTTGAGTTCTGCCAGTCTGTGCAACTGTGATGGCGTTACCCAGTCTGTAGTTTTTAGCAACAAAGTTAGAGAAATAGGCACGCATTAGGTTACTCCCTGTATGTATGTTTGGCTTGCCGTTGCTTTAAAGAAGCCCCCAAACAATATGCTTTTCTGAAAATTAGGTTTTGGTGGTTTTCCTTAGTTGTAAAGATGGTCCATTTTCTTTCCAGGCCTGCTGCTGTTACATGAAGGCCTCAATTTTGCTGGTCTTTACATTTGGTTCTCCTGTTTTGATATTTTTGCCATTTCCTTCATGTGTGTATTTTTTTCATGTGTTACAGAAGTACAGTAAGTGTGGACAGCACACAGCCATTTTTCGTATTTTGTTGAAAATGCCGATGCCTTTCATATGCTGAGACCTGCCAAGGGTTCCAAACAGTAAGCCTGATGCCTCAAACCTGCTATTAGGAACTAACAGCGTAGCAAACACAATTGTTGTGCTCACATGTGTAGTACTTCGAAGTATCCTGCAAAAGAATAGGCCGTGGCCCCAAATTGTAAAGCTGTTGAATGCGAGTGCATTTTAATTTAAAGCATGTTGGTAGAGGTTGGGAACAGCAAAAAAATCAGTGACCCGTTCTTTTTTGGTACACATCCTGTATGCAAAGCTTCCATTTCAAGTTTCATAATTCTGAGACCTGTTTCTCATTTGATTTATCTCTAGTTGGCAAAAATCTGTAAATTGCAGTGCTGTCCTACTCAATGGAGCTATTCCTTGTCTCTCTATCTATTTATAGTTATGAGTTTATTTTCTTCTCTGGTTTTGTTTTTGGTTGTTTTTTTTTTTCATCACTGGGGACTGCACGTGCACCTTAATTTAAAAAATGCAATGGCAATTATTTGTGTTTTCTGTCCAATGTTAGGAGAAAAGTTAAATCCAGGATATCTCTCCTTCCACTTCACTGACCCGAGGAATAAGTCTTTTTGTCTGGCAGGGAAATGCTGGCTGTGTTCTGTGCAGTGATACAGCACAAACAGGTGGGATGCCAGGTTTTCCAGCACACTTTGCCGGAAAAAGTTGGTACTTTGCTCCCTGGGGATGATTGAGTGCAGCAGACTATGCAGGACAGAGAATCCATGTTTTCGCTTCCCCAAGCAAGTGTTGTAATAAGAAATGCAAATGACCACATTCTGTCTCTGCCACTGCCTTGAATTCTTCCATTTCTTAGCACTGAACTTGGTGCTGTCAGTGTATTTTGGGGCTCACATAAGGGCTGGCTCATGCATCAGGGGACAGGTGACAATTTTCTCAGCTTGGGCAACTTTGACAGCAGTTCTGCAAATCCGCAGCAGACGACTTGTAAGGTAGGAAGTGGTCTGCCAGGGAAACACACAGTGCTCAGACACCCCAAGATCATGTTTCGGGTTTAGCTATTTAAATTCTATAGATGATACTCTTGCTTCACTTCCTCCTCTCCCCACTCCTCTGTAGGGACAGTGAGTGGCACAGAAGTTTCTTGGTGAGGGCACTGCTTGGACTGTGAAACTTTGTGAAATAAGAGGATGGGGAGAATCCATTTTGCCTCTCTAATTTTTGCATGGATCTGTTAGAGCAAGAGTTAAAAAAACAACTTTGTGTACTTCTGGACACAGTACATTTGCTTTACAGTTATTGAGACATAATTCATAACCCATTCCCTTGACCCTTACCATTAATAACATTGTTATTTTGTTCAGGCTTGACATGGAGTAGTTTTTCATAACTATTAGCTGATAGCACAGCCATTATGGTTTGCCTCTTCACTTAAATAGGCCTGTGTTTGTTCTTTCCTTTGAAGTTTTATTTTTAATGTTTAATTTGTTCCTCATTCCAAAGGTTCTGAAGAAAAAGCACTTGAAAGATGTGCATCTCCAACAAGTATCTGTAAGAAGGTTTGCATCGTTCAATCTCTTTTCTGTAGAAGACCAGAATATGGAAGACGAAACCGGGACCTGGGTTCAATATAAAAGCGTCTTTTATCCTGAGTATAGTGTGTCCTTAAGGTAAGCATTGTTGGAGTTTTAAGTACTTTCTAAGATCTTGAATGGGCCTCAAATATAAAACTCATTAGTCCTTCTTCCAGTGTTTTTTATAACTAGGGCATGGTTAACAAATAAACTGTTAGGTGTTATTTTTAGTTGTTTGTTACAGTAAGCAGCTTGTCTCATTTTTTTTTTCTTTTTTGTTTTCCTCTGGTGCATTTCACTGAAGTGGCAGAGCTTCAGTGAAAATACTAGTGATCGTAGCTAAACCAAAATACAAATATAAACATTTATTTTATATTTTTAATAGCTTTCTGTTTTGATTTTCTTCAGATATAAATAGGATGTAGAAAAACCTGAACACATTTATGTATAATCTTAATAAAAATTTAATGACATGATGTTATTAATAAAGTCCTATAATCTCTTGGGTAATGATCTGTGTATTAATTCAACTGCTCACAGCCTACATAATCTCTTTGTGCAGTGTATTTCTTGTTTTTAGGTTTTCAGAGGCACATTGGTGATAGGAAATGTACAGTGTTTAGGTGGAATTTGGGCTGAACAAGGTTGCAGTCCTGAACTCCTTCAGTCAGTCTCCTTAGTTCACTGCCGTGGTTTGCAACACTCGGTGGTGTCACTTGGTTGATTTATTATTCATTCTGGAGTTTTAAAGTTAGATGAGCTAGGGTTCACCTGTGCTGGCGGTGCAAAAGCAAAGGGAGTGTCAGACTGATCTTGCTCTACCCCTGATAGTTGTGTGCTTCTGTTTCCACCACTTCCTATGTCACCATTTCATTTTGAATTGTGTATTTGCCTGATTGTGGCTTCATTGATAATAGGACACAGCTCAACCTGTAGACTGCAAAGAAGAGTGTTTGTTTATGCATTCCTTTATTGTGTTCCTTTGATCGTGTCCAATGGAAATGCGTAGTGTCTGTGCTGCAGCAGACTCACATTGCCTTTCAAAAACTGAATATTGCAAAGAGTAGGGGCATTGTCTCCTGGTGGGGATTTTTATTTAATTTTTTCCTGCATTTTTTTCCTTTTCAGAAGATATTCAGTGACCTAGAAAAATGGTAATCACTGATTGTTTTAGGAATAATGATCAGAACTCACCCTTCTATATTGAAATGTTTTTCCATTCTAAGGCAGTGGCAATAGGTAGAGTACACTTATTCTTTCAGAATATTGCAGGATGGTGAAGAAAGGAAGGAGAAAATACTCCCTGTGTATTTTACCAGGAACAAAGTATAAATAGCCTGCAACAAAATCCTTTTTACCTTGAGTCTGTGTTAAATTAAGTTTCTTTCCTGTTTTTGCAGAAGCAGTAATTTAAGGTGATAAGCATAACAGTTTAACATACGTAACAAAGCAATAGTTCCTATTGCTGAAAACTGACATATCTAGAAGAGAAGTCTTGGACTAAGTGCTCTTGGATCTTTGGAAACTTATCATGTCTTGGAAGCTTAAGGGTTTTCTGAATATCTGACAGTTTTCCTGTAATTTTTCTTCTTCCGTTGACAAAATATTATTTATAATAATATTAAACAGTAAGAAATATTTTAACAAGATAACAGGAGCACATTATTAACCATAACTTCAGTTGGTAAATCCAGAACAGTGTGCTTGAATAGTTGAGCCTTTATGTATCTTTTTTGTGATGGAAAAAAATGTTACTATGGCCCCTCTAAAATCTTGACAAAAGTGCTTTTGAATTTTCATCTACATATGTTTTCCTTATGGATTAGCATCTTCTTGGAAGAGCTCATTGCATATGTTGGATGTTAAAAGGGTTGTCAGATAATATCTTGACAAGACTAAATACTTAGGAAAGTTCATAAGGTTGGTAGTGGCTTTTGGCAAAGAGTATAAAGGTCAAGCTATATCAGTTCAAGGGCTATCAAAACTGATCAAATTGTGTATTCAGATATGCTATGACCTAGCTGGAATTACTGCTCCAGAGGGACTTGGGACCGCTTTGTCAGGCAAATAGAAGCTTTGGGAGAAACTACCAGTCATGTGCATGCTTTTCTGAACTTTGTTGTTTTAGTAAGCTGCTATTTTTCTAACCAGATTCAGGTTGGATCCACATTTGGGATCATGCCATGTTTTTCTGTCACTAGTTTGTTTTTTGGACCATTCTTAATAACAAATCTTCCAAAGCAGGAAGTCAGAAGCACCGATATAAGGCAATTTTTGCTTCAAAAATTTAAGCTGAATTTATGTGCCATTTTGATTAGATCATTGAAGTAACAACATCATTGACTCATTTTAGAAATTCCTGTAACTCTTGTAGTTAAACAATGATTTTTAGTGTGCTTAATGAAATGCAGACCCATTATACATGTTGTGCACATGGTAGGTGCTAATGTTGTGCACTAATAGGTACTAAGGAGCTTCACAGTAGCTCTGGGGTATCAAAAGGAGTGTCTGATGAGTGTGGGGTTTTGTTAGCAGTGAAAGGTGTTTCAAAATTTAATTTTTTGTGTTTATAATCCAGAATCTGATTCGATTAGTCTTTCCTCATTTGGATTTGTGCAATACCTGATATTCCTACACACTGAGTCTTTGTCTTGATGATGTGAATTGAGTGGCTAAGTACATGAACTTGCTCTAGAGTGTTGTTTGCAATTAGTGTTAGTTAAAAAAACAAATCCCTGAATTGTCATGAAGTCAGCCTGGGAATCAGGCTGAATGTTTATATTAGTCTAGCATGGAGAATGTAGATGTGTTCAGTCCAAGCTGGAATCTTTTTGCAGGTTTTATATTGACAGTTGGATAGAGTAAACTGAAGTAATGTAGTCTGCAGGTGAAAATACAGGCCTCCTTTTCAGTAAAATTTCATGTGAGTTTGATGTGGAAAAAGGTATTTTTATTAGATGTCATCACAGAATCACAGAATTGTTTATGTTGGAAGGGACCTTAGAGATCATCTAGTTACAACCCCCTGCCGTGGACAGAGACACCTTTCACTAGACCAGGTTACTCAGAGCCCTGTCCAGCCTGACCTTGAACACTCCCAAGGATGTGGCATCCACAGCTTCTCTGGGCAACCTGTCCCACTGCCTCATGACCCTCACAGTAAAGAATTTCTTCCCAATGTCTAATATAAATCTCCCCTCAGCTTAAGGCCATTCCTCCTTCCCCAACCACACATGCCCTTGTCAAAAGTAACCTGTTTAAGTACTGGAATATTGCTATAAGGTCTCCCTGGAGCCTTCTCTTCTCCATGCTGAACAATCCCAACTCTCTCAGCCTGTCTTCATGTGAGAGGTGCTCCAGCCCTTTTATCACCTCGCTGGCCCTCCTCTGGACTCACTCCAACAGGTCCATGTCTTTCCTGTGCTGATGACCCCAGAGCTGGATGGGTCACACCAGAGCCAAGTAGAGGGGCAGAATCACCTCCCTTGACTTGCTGGTTATGCTGCTTTTGATGTAACCCGGGATACTATTGGCCCTCTGGGCTGCAAGTGTACACAGCTGGGTCATGTTGAGCTGCTTCTCAACCAAAACCCCCAAGTCTGTCTCCTCAGGGCTGCTCCCAGTCCATTTTCTACCCAGCCTGTATTTGTGCTTGAAATTGCTCTGACCCAGGTGCAGGACCTTGTACTTGGCCTTGTTGAACTTCATGAGGTTTGCATGGGGCCACTTCTCAAGCCTGTCAAGGATCTACTGAATGGCATCCCTTCCCTCCAATGTGTCCATGGCACCACAGCTTGGTGTCATTGGCAAACTTTCTTAGGATGCACTTGACCCCACTGTCCACGTCACCATCACAGATCATAAACAGCACTGGTCCCAGTACCAGATCAAGTCTGCTTTCTAGAAGTCCAGGGTAGTGACCTTGTTGTGCCTCCTTCTTGCTGCCAGAAGGATCTCAAACTCCACCACAGCCACCAAGACTTCCCTTGAGTTTCACATTCCCCCCCAGCCCCTCCTTGTTGGAGAGAGCAAAGTCCAGCATAGTCCATGGAGAGAACATAGTCCATCTCTTGCTGGCTTCTCTTGGGGAAGGAAGCATTTCAGGAACATCCTGGATTTTTTATGCTCTCTCTGTTGTCCCTCCAACAGATATGGAGGTGGTTGAAATTCCCCATGAGGACCAGGACTTGTGAAGGAGAGGCTGCTCCTGTCTGTCTGTAGAGGGCTTAATCTACTTGGTCTGCCTGACCAGGGGCCGCCTGTAGCAGGCCCCCACTATAATGCTGCCTGTCCCTGCCCTCTCTTCAATCCTGACCCATAAGCTCTTGGAGAATGAGGATGGCTCCTCATCCATCCCCAGGTGGAGCTCCATGGACTCCAACTTGACATAGATGGCATCACTGCCTCCCCATCTTCCCCATCTGTCCTTCCTCTAGAGCCTGTATCTTTCCATTCCAACACTCCACTCCTAGAAGCCATCCCACCACATCTCTGTGTGGTGCCAGTAAGATCACAGCCCTGCAGACACTCATCCTTAACTCTGGTTTATTCCCTGTGCTATGTACACTGGCATAGAGGCATTTAAGTTGGGCTACTGGTGAAGCTGATGTACTGGCCGGAGTGGCTGGAATTCTTTGGGCTGCTCTTCAGGTGCTTTCCTCCTGATCTGTGATCCTGTGATCCAGGCTCTGGGCATCTACTGCTGGCACTGGATTATGTGACCTACTGGATCTGTTCTCCATCAAAATATGTTTTTATTCATACAACTTTCATGTGTATTTGTTAGCTTTTTTTCAAGTTCTGTTTAACTTTGGGGGTATTTCACTTTACTGTTAAAAAATTATACGTGTGTTGAATATGTGTTTCCTTAGGAAAAGGAAGATATATTAAGTACAGCTATTTAAAAATATTTATTTAATATTACATTTCTAAATCTTTCTATTCTTAATCAGGAATGTGCTTTTAAATTTAAATTTGTTATGAATAGTTTTAGCTCTGAAGTGATTATAGATTATAAAGATGCAGTGTCTTCCTGGAGAGATGGTGCCTGTCTTTGAGACAGGAAAATTATTCTTTTATTAGAGTTTAAAAAGAAG